GGGGAAGGTAGAGGCAATTTAAATTTTATCTGACCAGTGTTGGCACAAGTCACAGTTCTTTCAGTTTGTATTGAATTACTAGTTTCAACTAATAAACCAGGTACAGTTATCCCTGGTTACATCTTAGTACTTCAAAACAGGCCCCCTGTGAATCCGTGTCACACCTGGGACTCCCAGCAGAATGAGAAATGTCTACTTCTGTCACTGGTTTCCTCTCCATTTTTTGCCCTAATATCATGGAAACAAGAGAGGATCAGAGCTGTACACACGATGTTTTGAGAATGGAGGTAGCTCTCAGCCCCCCTATTGAGGAACCAGTAGGATCTTCTCTCTCTGTCTCTCTTTTTCACTACTGGTTAAACAAGGAGTGCGGGCTTCCTGACTTGTATGAGGATGCAGGCAAGAGAAGGACTCGATTGGTAGTGTTGCTGTTGTGTGTTTGTACACGTGTGTGTATGTGTGGAGGGTGATTTTTAGGAAATGTTTCTGGGGACAAGAGCCTAACAGGGACAATAATGAACTCTTTTCTTTTTCATTTCCTAAATTTTAGCTAGAATCAGAAGATACAAGATTACAAGTAACGAGAGAAAAAGAAACAAGAGGTGTAATATGCTCACAAAGTTGAGAGGTTAGAGCTGGAGATGTAAATTTGAAAGTGACGTAGGTAGTAATTTTAAAATGAAAAAGTGGGTACAATCCTCAGAGGTCTAAAAAAGTACGTTTTGGGGAATGGCCAGTGATAACAGGTATTATGATCAGGCCATGTGTGTGTGTGTCTGTGTGTTTAAGAGAGAGAAAGAGAAATACCTAGTATTTATTGAGTACCTCTGATGAGCCAGCACTGTCATATCAACTCTGTGAGGTAGGTGTTAGAAGCAAGTTAGCTCCATTTTTCAGAATGAAGAAAATGAACACCCAGAGAGGTTAAGCAACATGTCTGAGTCACGAAAGTAGAAAATGGTAGAGTCTGGCTTTGAACATAGATTTCTGTCAAATAGTATGCTTTCCACTATACCTCACTGCCTTAAATATAGGGGCATTTTAGGCTGATCTTTAAGGACTTCAGGGCTTTCTCAGCACCAAACTACTCCTCCTTCTGAGATAGTATTCCTTAAATTAATGTTCCCTCTCCTTCCTTTCCTTCCCACCTCCTGTACAATGTATCCCTTATAAATTTGTATTTGCAGTAATATTGACTTAATACTAATGCTGTATTTGGATAGTCCTGTGCTTTCATATCACTGAAAGTATGTGGGGATGTGACAGAAGTTGAGAGTAGATCAGTGAGTCCACAGATTCATTGAACCCATGGACTGGGTATTTACTGACTGTTATTTGCTTGGAATGGTTCTCCAGTTCTCTTTTTCTTTATTTGTAACTTTCCCCTCCTTCCAACTTTTTCAGCTCTACAAGTGGCTGTTGGATTGCCCTTTTTCCTTATCCTTTTGTGTCTCTATGTGATACCATTCGGGAATTATTCTCCCTGCATTCAAGAGAAGGACAAATTGGGGCCCAAGCCGAGCTTCTTTGGACATAGAGGTGCACCCATGGTAGGTCTGAGCATGATGGACGTGGTGCGTGCAGTTGTGCACGGATGTGTGGGTGAGAGAAGGGCAAA